GAAGTATCCTGTGCCGTAGAGCTGGGACACCTACGCAGGTGAGGGAGGAGTCTGTGGGCACTGCGCTAAGTCAGTGCAGGGAGGTGAAGACCACAGGTGGCGTGAGGCCGGGGTGTAGGGGTGGCTGGAGCCCCATGTGTAACCGATGAGGCCAACCCGGGACACGGAAGGACCGATGAGCTGGCCCCACCCCCTGGGATAACAGCAAAGTCGTGGCAGGCGAGAAGCGGGGTCGGTGCAGCGGGGAAGACAACTCAACTGCAGCAACACCAACGCTCGGTGCAGAGGGTGGTCACCCGAACGGGGAGCCACACTACGAGCAGGGTTCTACGAAGACCCGTCGGGGATAGAAAGGTCCATCATAGGAAAATAGAGTATACCATAGTTTGAAATGAGAATTCATTTGTTTAGCTTTTAATTTTCTCCTCCAAAATACATATTTTCATTAAAGAAAATTTTCACTGAAACAGAAACAATTAGGTTTAGAAATTACCTTTGAAATTTGGTCTAATTCTTGCATCGTAGCCTGACATCCTACCCATTAATTTATCCAGAAAATCAGATGGCGACATTGGCATGCTACGAGATCTTGCACTGTCCGTTTCCTTTGTGGCTACCAAACTACCAAAAAAAAAAAAAAAAAGACTTAATTAGACTGTTTATAGTAAAAATATAAATGCCTAAAATATTTGTCCATCTCTGTTTAAACCAATTAATTCAAAGGTAAAATTGTCTTTTTTAAAAGTAATTTAAACTTTCATGATATCAGCAGAGATTTTATTTGTGAAAAATTCCTTTTATCCATAATTTTATGAATAGTTAATCTTGCCCTAAACAATTATCAGATTTCATCATCATAGGGTAACATTTTTTCTTAAAAAGTCAAGCCTTTTCGAAACATATTTCCAATAAATTTTAATTGGTCTCCAATAAATTTTTTATTGGTCCCCAATAAATTTTAATTGGTCCATAAAATGTGCAGTACTAAATAATAATTTATTCTCTACAAATAGTCGTAAAGTTGGAATGATGTAATTTAAAAAATACTCTGATCAATGTTTAACTGTATCTTGCATAAATTAATATGAGCCTGCAGAGAGAAAATAAAACAAGAATTTCTCATAATATTTTGATCAATTGCCACCATCTTTTGTACCACTGATTGAATATTTCATGCATACAGTATCAGATTGTTTCTTGGAAAATTTTATTCTCTAACATTGTCATCAAGATTCATTTTCCATTAAAACAGAAGTTACTGCTGCATTGAAAGAAAAACCTCACTGAAAGGAACTCTCTCAGGGCAAATTTCTTTTCTCAGGTACATATGGAAAATGTCGTCTCCTATAGACGGTTTTGCCTACATGTGCAGAGCTCCCACTGACATCCTAAAGTATGTCCTGCACATTTTAGAATAAAAGACTATTTCCACCATATGGATCTAACAAATTTTGGCCTATATCCTGTTTCATTTTTAAGGTGACTAAGTAACAATTATGTAGATTTTCACTAAATGTGATGCTATTTCACTTCACACCTCAGCCAAAATTCTGGTATAACTACAATTCCACTATAACCTATATTCCTCACGAGCCTCCATATTAGCCTGAAAAGATCCATAACTCAGCTTGGTTTACTATTCATGGTAAAAAGTGACCCAGTATAGCCATCCAGGCTGCCTCTACATGTGCTTATGGATGGGGAAGGACATTTTAATTATAACAGTTCCTGGAGAGCCATTCTAATTAAAATGCTCCAGCGTCATGTGTATTAAGGCCCCACACATTTAAAAATAGTTGCTAGATGCTTTAAGTAAACCTTGTTTAATGAATCCAGAAGCCATATTTAAACCCACAGGGACTTGTACATATGAAGCTGGCGTGATGCTAGAGCATTCTAATTAGAACACAGAGCAGACTTGATTAATTGAGTCTGCTTCAATGTGTTTTAATTAGAACACATCGGAGCATGTATATAGGCATTCCCAGACATCAAACTCTACATATGCTGTGAATGAATGCTACTGCTCCTGTGTGGTGCCTGATGGCTATACAATGATATTTAGAGATTTGCTTTTAGGAATTGGCTTGAAGTAAAGTAGATATTACATTAAAACAATGGTTCAGGGGAACAGGAAAGGTTAATTGGTTTCTAAAAGCCTGTTTGTGACAAAGTATCACAGTCTCAGCCTTTAAGTCCCATTGTGTCTGGAGCTAGCAGACAAATAGGGTGGGGAAACTGAAAAAATGAACAGTGTACCCATAACCTGAGATAAGGTGGCATTAGTTACAGTGCCCAGCTACAACCCCTGGGATTTCCAATTTTGGTGAAATGACCAAATTAGGAGGCCAGACATACCTACATTAAGACACCGGTAAATGACTAAGTTAAGATGTATGCATGTGATGGGTTTGAGAGACAAAGAATTATGCAGCCAGAACAGAAAGTGGACAGTATAATGACAACAGGGAGACAAAGCAATGACACCTAGAGACAAAGAGTCATCAGAGGAGAAAGAATACAAAAGGAAGGACTTCAGAGCAGCAAAATGCCCCCAACTGGGGATTCTGAGGTCACCATTGACAGGTCACACTACCAGCCCCTTTTTTCCCCACCCCCCACTGGGGCAAGGGCTCAACCCTTACATCCAGGCTGCTGACATCTGACATTTAAGCAAGAAC